AAGATTAATGTACACTTATGTATAGTATGTATCACAGTTACAGTGCATACCTACCAAATGCACTAACAATTCGAGCAGATTCTGATGGCGTACAACCTAAGTTGGTAGCATGAGAAGGCAAGAAAACAAGTGGTGAATTGAATGCTATGCTTGTTAGCAGATTCGAAACAGCATAGAGAAGGAATATTGGATCAACAAGCAGCGAAATATCCGTCATTTTTCCGATTGTCCTAAATATGAAATGCGTAATGTGGTCAGTAATTTGATAAACTGATAAAAGATTACGATTAAGTGAGGTAATTTAATCCAGATTTTCAAATAATCTCTATGCATCAAATTTCAATCATTAATTTAGAAGATAAATTCGATATTCACAACTTATTAAAAGCAATACAAATAATATTAACGACAAAAAAGGCAAATATTTTGCTTTGAAATAATTAATTTTTCATACTTTAGCATGAAATTGAGATTGTAATTTTTTAAATGCTTTTCATAATTTACTTTCAATAAGTTGTTTTAATAATAAGAGCAAATCTTGATCTTATAATAATACTAAGAGTAAATCTTGATCTTATACCCATTCTATCCTAGCTTATAACATACAAACGAATGTAAGCAATAAAACACAAATAATTAAAAAATACCTCAAAATTTCACGAGCTTTGCTACCTTTTTCTTCTTCATCGTCCATGCTTGCTGATTCTAAGCTGTTCTTCTTGTCATGAGTATGAGCATTTAAAGATAACAGTGATCTGTAGCGTTCATCTTGTGGTAACTCACTCATTGAACCAGTATAGAAAACATCCTAAGTATTACGACCATTATGCTAATAAATGTTTAAAAACGCTTAAGAACAAAATCAAATCATTAATATTTACTATAAAGATAATTAGTTATGAATAAAGGTAGAATAATTTTTAATTCAACTTTTTAAAGCAATTACAATATAAATATAAATTTAATTAAAAAAATAATGATAAATATTTAGTATACTCGAACAGTGATAAAGCCAGTAGATTCTGAAATTTGTCCACTTTTTTCATGTGAAACATTTTCCGTAGATGTTTCTGAATGCTTACTGATAGCATTTTTCTCGCTTAAATCGCCACCACTTCGCTGATGAACAACTGTTGATAAGAGTGTCTTTTCATCATCCTATTTGAGGCAAAATCAAAGGACAACGACTTTTATTATTATTATTATTATTATTATTATTATTA